ATGGAGAGGTGTTCCTTTTCCCCACAGAACTCCCTGTGGGCATGAATTCTAAGGGAGCCCTTGAAGGAACAACAGGAGGAGAGGAATATAGAAGCAAACGTACACACATGGCCTGGTCTTTGAAATCCAAATCAGAGATGTAGGGAATTTGCGAATCTTCAGGCAGGAGTAACAGTTAGATGTGATTCCACGGCCACCACATCACCAAGGGCATGCACTGGACAGAAGTGAACAGGATTTCTGAAAGAGTTGTGATGTTGATTTTTCTCATCCCAACAAAGTAATGCAAAAATAGTTTTGCTAACTAAAAATAGTTTTTTTTTATTTTTAAAAATTAGTGGTGGTCAAGGTCAAATAAAAGTGAAAAGCTTATTATTAAAGGGAATAGGTTTGAATTTTAGCTTCACCATTTCCTGGAAGGTCACATGACCTCAAGCAGACCTGTGGCCTCTCTTCCTGTGTAGAATGAAGTGATGGTAGAATTATTTATAAGCAAGAGGCATGGTGGAAATGCAATGAGTTCATGTCCTTTGTGTGCTTAGGTAGAAGCTAGACATAGAAAAAGCCCATAACACATAGAAATTGGAAGATCAGTTCTATCATTTCGTTTACTTACCATAGATTTAAGATGATCTCTGGTAGTAATAGTCACAGGTTTCACTGGACTGACTCACAAGGTGTAAAGCTGATTGCATAAGCTGAACTCGACTCTTGGAAGATGTATTAGGGTTGCAAGGAACACACGCTTAAGATGAGACAGTGTAGAGTAACACTTAGCTCTTAGGAAGAGCACATGTCCAGAAATGACAGTCTAGGCTCGGTTCAAGCTGGGCGATAGAAAGATTTCTGGCTGATAGATGAAAGCCAGTATTGTCCAGGAACTTGTGAAACAGCTTGCCTGCTGCCAAAAAGAGCCATTTCCCTTGCCTCTGGCAATAAGGAACATATGGCTCTCCATTGACTAATACCCTTAGCAGCTATCGGCATGTCAAAGTCTACAGCAGCTTCCAGGCTCCATCAGGTCCTATTCACAAGTACCCATTATACATTTCAAAGCCCCCACACTAGCCTTCTGGTCCCACTCACCTCATATCTCTCTTTACAGGCAAGGTTTTTACTGCTGTTCTTACTACTCTCACTAGCTCTGTTTTTGCTATCGCCACTATTTTCTTCCTCTACTCTCCCTTCTCAGACAGACAGCCCTGGCCATATCCAGTCCTCCTTTTCTCTCTCTCTCTGCTCTGGACTCTTCCAGATATTTTTTCTCTCTTTTCCACAATAAGAACCTTCCCCGATCATGAGCCAGCCATTTTGGTGGTTTCTTTACTGTGTCCCATTTACATACAATAACATGGCACCTAAACTGAGGGTGTTGAGGGAAAGACAGGCCAGACAGGAGGCAGTATTTGTTCTCAGGTATAGATAAGAGCTAGAAGGACTAGATGCAAGTGACAAAGAAGTCCTGGGTGAGTGGTGGTTGATGCAGGGAAGCTACTGGGATAGTAAGTGTTCTTGTGAAAGACTCTTAAACCCCTTCTGCTTTCCAGATGGTATCTATGCTACACCTCCACCAAAAGAGTGTGCTTTGCTCTGGGTGGAGCACAGGGAAGATGGCTAAAAGCATAGGAACAAGATTTGTTTTAGACTTTATGGTGGTTTGAATAGGTGTGGCTCCATCGAACTCATGTGTTTGAATGCGTGGCCCATAGGGAGTGGCACTATTAGGAGGTGTGGTCTTGTTGGAGTAGGTGTGGCCCTGTTGGAGGCAGTACATCTCTGTGGAGGTGGGCTTTGAGGTCTCAGATGCTCAAGCTAGACCTAATGTCACAGTCTCCTCCTACTGCCTACAGATAAGATGTAGAACTCTCAGCTCCTTCTCCAGCACCACGTCTGCCTAAATGCTGCCATGCTTGTACCATGACATAAAGCTCTGTAAGCCAGCCCCAATAAAATGTTTTTCTTTAAAAGTTGCTATGGTCATGGTGTCTCTTCACATCAATAAAATCCTAAGACAGTCTGTAAGAATTCTGTTTAGCATGAACAAAATGAAAAATTTGGGTTGATGGATATGAATGCTCCAAATCACTAAGAATGAAGTAAAAGACACAGATTTGGCTGATGTAACTGTTAATCTGAGACTGTTAAAGTTGACCCTACACAGATTAGAATGTATTTTATTATTGTGAATGAAGAAAGGGCAGGAACAGGATCTGTTTGTTCTATTTATTTTTCTGGGATTACCATATAAGGAAAGTAAAGATAATATCTACCCTTAGATTATTATGACAAATGAGAAAAAAAATCACAGAGACTATAGATACAGCTCAATGCTTATGGTCACACAATGCTTTTACAGAGGACCCAAGTTTGGTTCCAGGACCTATATCTGGCAGCTCACAAAACTAGAGTCTGTAACTCTAGTTCTCGGGAACTCAATGTCCCTGGTCTTAGGATACCTTCAATCATTTGGACACACACACACACACACACACACACACACACACACACACAGTTAAAATAAAAATAAAATCTTTTAAAAATATCCATAAGAACAGTGTCTGGCTAGTAAGTCAAAGCCTTTAGGGAAGGACCCCTTCTCCTGTCTTGGTCCACATCTTTGATATACAAAGAGCTTGGCTTGCTGTTAAACTTACAAGCAGCAGAGAGGTACATATTTCCATAAGAAAGCCCACATTATACATCAACCCACACATCCTCCTGCTTTAACCTTCCGGAACAATTTTTAATTTTGTAGACAGCACTTTTTAATTTTCTGAGAAGATATAAAATAAGCAATGTTTTCTTTAATGGTGTCTTCCTCTCCAGAGAGTTGTGACATTTTTCTTAGTGGTCTCGTCTATTGCTGCACTGTGAGATGGTCATGTTAACAATAGTCCAACCTAGACTACTTCAATTGTCTTCAAAAATTGAAACTAGAAAAGCTACCTTGGCTGTGGTGTGGTTGTTGTGTGAAAACACCTCTTGCTTCTGAAGAGAGTGACTTTTTACCAGACTTGTGGCATTTATAAAATGCCCTGAGATCATTTAAAACTGTGCAAGCAAACTGCTATTCTACTGTGTACTCAGCTTGTTTAAGTTTAACCTGCCTTTAAGCAAACAATGTAATAAGCTTACTATGCCTTGGACTTTCCATGTAATCAGCCTTTAGAGCCTAAGCTAGATGTATATTAATCTTTAGTTGTAGATTCTCTCATTCTCTGAACCCAGAATAATGTATGTATATATGTGTGTGTTGTGGTAATCATTTGCTGAAAGCAGCCAACAGGTTGAAAGCATCCTTAAACCAACTATCCACTGTAAATGTTGGAAGTAATGTGTGGATATAGGCTGATGACATCTGTTTGTGGTTTTGACCGCTATTCTGGATCAGCAAAGTAACTTCTTTCCCTGTAAAACTCTGTTAAAGATTTCTGTCAAGGATCTCTCATTTTTGAGGGCTGGAGAGATGGCTCAGAGGTTAAGAGCACTGGCTGCTCTTCCCGAGGAGCTTGGTTCAATTCCCAGCACCCACATGGTAGCTCACAACTGTCTGTAACTAACAGTTCCAGGGAATCTGACAGTGTCACACAGATATACAGGCAAGCAAAACATTTATGTACATAAAAAATAGAAAGAAAGAAAAAAAAAGAGGAGCTCTTATTCTTTTCCCATGTTGTTCAACAAATAGAGAGTAAAACCCTTTACTAGGGACAGGAGACATAGACACAACAGACAGACAGACAGACACACACACACACAAACACACATACACACACACACACACACACACAGAGAACAGAACCAGCAGTGTAATAAACAAACACAGCAGAAAGGCAACAGGAACAGATCAGACAAACAACAGACTGGCTAGTAACCACAGGCTTCTGTAAGGTGGATGACACAGGGACAGAAGTGGAGAATTCATATTGGGACTATTCCAAGAGGGCATTCTGTCTTATTGCTTAATGTGACATCAACGCAACTTGGTAAGTTTTCTTTTGGATGTATCCCATCTCTTTAGTGCCAGGGGAAACAACTGGATTGCCGACAACGTGTTGGCATACTGCTTGCTTCTTGTTCCTCAGTAGCTTGCCTGCCTCACCATGAAGTAGGAGAACCAGATGAGGAGGGAGTTGGACAAGCAGTGCATCAAGAAGGTGGAGGGAAGAGTGGAATCAGAGAACTAAATGGTAACATACTCAAAGCGGACAGTGCTAAAGCCATCTCCCAGTTCCAGTTATCCCACACAACACCATCTTTCTCCAGGGCTCACAGAGAATTGCCAGCACCTTGGTACTGTCTCCGTTTAGTGCCACTCACTCAAATCCAGGCTAAAATAGTCATGTGTGGGCTCTGCAGTACAAGTGGACAGGTGCCCAAAGCACCCAGGGACTGGGAGCTTCTCATTCCTACTGATACATAGAAATACAACAGTTTTATAATCTTTGATGGGTCAGCTCTGGCAGCACAAATATATGAAAATTACAGGACTAAGTTTATTTTCAAGACATTTAACATTAATTAGCTGTGAGGAGTAAAGTTATGTTTCTATCTTCAGACTGTCTACAGGAACACTTCAATGATTTCTGTCCTAAATCACACTGTTCTGTGTTGAGCTGGCAAGGTTTCCTATCTCGCTGATGGTGGGGTATCATCGCTAAGACTCAAGTCTGGTAATATCACTTATATGCAACTGTGCAACTTGTTCTGAAGATGCTCACAGCAGCGTCTGGGTCCCTAAGCCTCCATCCAGTAGTGGACACATTGTTCATTTGATAAAATGATTCTCTTGAGGAAAGCTTTGTCTTTTCACATTAAACAAGTCAAACTAGGCAGCTAAACATAAGAAACACGTGTGTCAATGGTAGAAAGCATGCTGAATTCAGTCCTTGGCATCTCAAATTAACAACAACAACAATGCCCTAAGTGTGTGAGTGCTCACTGGAGTCAGATGTGTTGAGGGCCGCAGATGTTGAGATTAGGTAATGCACGAAGATTACCTGTCCAAGGGATTGCCAGTCTAAGCCCGCGCTGCCGATGTACACATGCTGTTTGTCCACAATCCAGAAGGACGACTGCAGCCGGCCCTTGTTGTAGGCGGTCATGTTCATATACGTCACCTCCGCTCCTAGGAAGTCAAGCGGACACCAGTCAGCGTCTCCTCTCGGACCTGCTCCTGCCAGCAATCAGGCATCTACAGGCACTAAGACTCAGGGGTGTGCAGACCACAATGGAGACTTGGGGAAGCTAGGTATTTGCACAAGGCTGTGGCGATAAAGGCACTCATGTTTCTACTTTGTTCTTCATGCTAAAAGAAGAGAAAAGGAGTTGCCGGTGTTTATGCAGAGGAGGCTCTGTCCATTGTGACAAGACTGTGGCTTCTCAAGTCACCCAGATCAGCACCAAAAGCCCATTCCTGCTAGCTATCTGGATGGTGAGATAGGTGCAGAACACACTCCTTTCGTTTTATTTGGGATTTATGGCAAAATGTTTGTAACTTTTAAAAGAATGTCTCATTCACCATTACATCTGTCTGAGTAGGAAGCCAACTGGCTTATACATCCCATACTTTATTTTATTCTCTTTACTTTTTCACTTACCATACTCACGATTGAATTTGGATTTGGTCTCTTCTTGCCCTTAGTTTAATAGTTCTTAATTCAAGCCATGACTATCCAGGTCTTAATGAGATGAACCCAGACCAGTGAACTGTCATTGAGACCATCAGGGAAACCAAAAATACCTCAAAAGCTGAATGTGATCAGTGGTTCTAATCAGAATGTGGTATAAGCCACTGTCCTGTCTTGAAGTATTGCCAGCCCAAATTCATTTGCAGCGTTAGTTAATTCTGATGCAAGGCCCTTGTCGGTGTATTAAAGTCAGTTCTCTTCAAAGAGCACACTTACTTGTATGTATTTAATGAACTAAGCTAGTCTGTCTTCAGGTATTCAGAATTAATGGAGAGGACACACCCCACTGACACATTTGCTTGTCAGGATCACAATTGCCAGGGATCTATAACATGAGGATATCACTGGGATATTTGAAAGGAAAGAGGGTGATTGACACCATGAACTTGACCTCTCACTAGGGGAAAACACAGACATGCCTCCTGGCTCTGAGAGGCAAGGATGAAAGAGGAGCAATAAAGACCTGTGGGGACAGGAACACCCGGGCAGATTTTCTCTGAGAATGGAATAGCTTTGTTCTTTCTTCCCCATTTCATTCTGGAAGCAATGCCCACGTGGTTCTTATCTTGTAGTTATCCTGGCATAAGGACAGCTGAGGAAGAGTGGTAGATCCTAGGGGAGAAGCCACCAGGTACAGCATAATTTGAATATCAGCACAGGAGGATGTCATCCATGACATCTATGCAGGGACCTGAGTCTGCATGGAGGGGACACAGAAGGCAAGGCACTTGTCCTTTGAGATGGTCTTAATCTTCATAGGGTTGCCATGCCAGAGTGACACAGTGGCTAAAACAACTCTCAGTTCTGGGAGTTAGCAGTCCAAACTGGAGCTAACTGATTGATAGTGGAACACTTGTCTGCCTTGCATGGATCCCTGGACTGTTCACTCAGCATTGCCAAACCAAACTAAACCAAACCAAACCAAACCAAACCACACCACATCACACCAAACCAAACCAAACCAAACCAAACCAAACCAAACCAAACCAAAC